TCCCTGATCTGAAATTTTAAAGTACATAAGCAATGAAATAAAAATAGGGAAAGAATGGAATTATAAAACCTATATGAAAGATATTAAGATACTATTAATTATTTCTATTTTCCTCCTAGCTATGTTGAGATTACATTTCATACTCAGTGAAAGGAGAATCACCCAAACTTTGAAAAGTGAAATTCAAAGTATCATAAAAACAAAAACTGCTGATATTTCCAAGATGTTTTTATCAAAAAATGACTTTAAAGTCAAAGTAAGGCCTTTCAGTCCTTCAGCTGTGATGACCTGTTTAGATACCTACTGTATACATAATGCTATGGCACAGAGGGTGCATACAAAAAAAAAAAAAAGAGAACATTTTAAAAAAGTGTATTACATGCCAAATGGTGTTACAGTAGTGTGACAGGACTGCCACAACAAGATTACACAAAGGGTGGCTTAAATGTATTTTCTTCCAGGTCTGGAGGCTGAAGTCCAAGAACCAGGTGCCAGCAGGGCTGATTTCTTGGTGGCTTTCCCCCTTGGCTGACAGAAGGCTGCCCTCTGGCTGCCTCTTCACAGGACTGCCTCTTACACCCGCACCCTGGAGGCTCCCTGCGTGTCCAGATCTTCTCTTCTTACAAGAACCAGCTGGACAGCATCAGGGCCACCCTAACAGCCTCCTTTTAACTTAATCATGCCTTTCAAGGCCCTATCTCTAAATGTAGTCATATTCTAAGACCTTGGGGGTATTCATTTATTCATTCATTCATTGTTATTTATTTACTTCAGACAGGGTCTCACTATGTAGTTGAGACTGACCTGGAACTCACTATGTAGCCCAGGCTGGTCTCAAACTCACAGCAATAGCAATCCTCCTGCCTCAGCCTCCAGAGTGCTGGGATTAAAGGCATGCACCACCACACCCAGCTTGGGGTATACATTTTAGAGGAACACATTTCAGCCTGTAAGAAAACACCATCTCATTTAATGACTACTCAGTTTAGAAATGATTAGTCAGGCTCTGAGAGAATAGATAATGCATCAAATATCACAGTTAGTTAAGCAGTGGAACCAAAATTTTAACCAAAGCCTAAACAGCACCAAAGCTAATGTTCTTTCTACTATTCACATGTCTTTGAAGCCATATAAATCTAGTTGGAAAGATAGGCTACTCACCAATGAAATTTTCAAAAGGGGGCTAGGTATATGGCAGTATTTATTCACTTGACCTGCATCATCATATGGAAAGAATAGATCCAGGATTAATAACCATTTATAAAACACTTACTAAATGCTAGGCTAGGTTCCTTCACAAAAAAGCCATTGATTCCCTCACCTGAGGAACTGTTGGTCCAAAGCCTACAAATAATCCTAAATCAATGGCAAACACAATAGAACTTTTAAGAACAAATACCTTAGATGGGAACGCCTTTACATCTCTTTCCTTCTGCATTTGAATATACACTATGTACAGGGACGTGTGTATGAAATCCCTAATCTGCTTTACAAGCTTCTACCCAACGGGTGATCTACACAATACATTAGTGTGCTTTCAGCTCTACAGCATCTCAGGATGAAAGTCCAACAGCCCACTGTTGCTCCCTCTTTAGACTCCCACTTATGTTTGCAGGAATGAATACCAGGCTACAATGTGGTGAGGCTAGTACCTGCTCAGTCCTCTGGGTTGATTAGTTTATTAAAAATATCTTTAAAAAAGTATCATACGATTCCTGGTACCAAAAAAAAAAGCATCATAATTGTGCTTTACTTTCTAACTATATTTGATGGATCTACATTCTATGTTATAGTTGTATAATTAAATTAAATCATCTATATTCCTATGTTATGTTAAAATATTTCTGAAGAAAGCCCGTCTGGGTATGCAGGCTAGAACACATGACTTAAAGCCTAGTACAAACTAATTCTTACACAAAAAGTGTTGGATAAGGTCTTTTCTTCTATACTCTAAGATATCCCTATCCATATGCATATCTATATCTCTATATATCAACTCTGTTGTTGTAGCACCTCTAGTCTATTTTATATATAAAACATTCAACTAATTGTGAATCAGTCAACAAAGTAAATTTTACTACCTGAGAAGTATCTGCTTTACATTCAGTGAAAATATGCTGATCATTCCTAGTCCCAAAATATAAAATCTGAAAAATTTTATAATCTGAAGCTTTTATAAATTCTAGCATGACACCACAAGTGGAAAATTCCACATCTGACCTCATTTGATGGGTCACAGTCAAGAAGCAGATACACTAGGGCTGGGGATCTAGCTTACTGGCAGCATGCCTGCCTTGCAAGCACAAGGTTGTGACTTCGATCCCTGGTACCACAAAACAAAACAAAAACAGGTACACTAAAAATATTGTATAAAATTATCTTCAGGTTATGAATATAGGCTGTATATAAAATATAAATGAATGTCATGTTAAGACTGAGTCTCATCCCCGAGGTATCTCATATTATATATTCAAATATCCAAAAAATTCCAAAGTTCAAAATACTTTTGTTTCTAAACATTTTGGAAAAGGGATACTCAACCTGTGCCAACACTAACATTTCCAAATAAAGTTCTAAAAGCCTAACGCCTACATACACTAAATGCATTCATTTTCTCCATTCTATGAAATCCCATTTTGAATTCCATTATCTGCAACAGTTTATTGTGGCAAGGTAACTGGCATGAATCAGAGTAGTATGGTTTTTCTGAAGAGAAAGCCCTCTGTGAATAGCTAAACAAAAGTAACATGGCAACTATAATATTTAGAAATGAGGTATTATCATTAATTTATGATTGAATTTCTGGTTAAAGACTGACTAGCTAATCACTTTTGCTTTAATTATTGGTAAAATCTGTTCAGTGATTTCCTAGGCTGATGTGTTGAACATAAGAAAAAAACCTTTGAAATGCAGACACTTAGTTACCTTTCCTAATGCTTACTTAGCCTTGTGCCTTGTGCTAAGCAGAGAAATCTATTATCTACCCAGCAGGGCTCTGGGAATCAGAATAAGGAAGCTAAATTGCTTTTCAGCTTAGTAAAAATTTACTGACTTTTAACTGTATGTGTAGTTCTTGCCACTCATTTATAAGGCCTTCAAGAGCCTCCACAAGAAGCTTGACTTACTGTAGAAATCCATTACTTTTTTTCCCTTTTTGGTATGGGGGATCAAACTCAGGACTTTGCACTTGTGAGGAAGGATCGGTGCCACTGAGCTAAATCCCTGGCCCCTACTTTTAAAAAAAGGTATATTATGAATATTAATCACATCATATTAAAAAATAAGTAAAAAGTATATTTCAGAGTTTAATTCAATTTTAAGTATTATTCATTCTTCTGCTCTTTCCCCAAGATTATGAAGATTACCAAATAGCATTCTTACGGATAACTGGAGTTCAGTTGTGCTGTGATTTTTCAAATTGTCTCAAATGAATCTGGTAGGTGGAGAAGGTGGGAATAGTGGCTCAGGATCAGGAGAAAAATGGAAGAAAAGACAGAAGTGATGTACATAATTTGGAAACCAGGCAGTGCTTTTCTCCAATATTTTCATGTGTTTTACTTACAGTATTAATGTTTTGAAATTCCAAGTAATATTAAAGTAGGGTATGTATTGGAAAAGAGGCCAAGGAAAAGTAATATAATGGAATTTTTTTAAATCTCAAGAAATTAGAGAATTTTTTTGTCAGATAAAAGTACACAGTGAAGGCATCTGATGAATGTTTTGAATAGAAATAATTGCCAATAAACTCAAAATACATTTAATTCCCTAAGTATATCTGTGGTATATGCAGTGATACATTTTAAAAAGTAATATCCACAGTTTACAAAGTAGTGGCTAAAACTTGGAAGCAGCCCAATTGCCTGTCAACTGGAGAATGGATAAAGAAGATGTGGTTTTTCTATAAAATGGAGTACTACTCAGCCATAAAGAACAAGAAATTAGAGACATTTATAGCTAAATGGATGCATATTGAAGACATACTCTTAAGAGAAATAAATAGGACACGTGTAAATACCAAATAGTTTCTCTGGTGTGAAAAACTAAAAATATAAAGTTCAAATTGTATAATTGATAATGTGAAATAGGGAAAAAAAAGGGCTAAAAGAGTAGGGAAGTGGGGAAGAGTAAGGGAAAGGAAAGAAGGGAAAAGAAAAAATATGAGAAAAGTAAAAAATGGAAACAAAGTCTTTGTAAATAGGGAAGGGTGGAGGGAGTAAAGGGAGGCATGGGCATGGGAAAAAATAAGAACTAAGATACACCATGTAAAGTTACAAGATCCCAATGATGAATATAACTGTACTGTATACCTAAAAAAGTACCAATAAACTTAATGGAAGGAAAAAAAAAAAAAGAAAAAGAAAGAAAGAAATAAGTAGTTTCCAGGGACCAAACAGTATGACTATCTAACTTTGAGGGGATAAGTAAGCTAGTAAATTCCCCAAAACAGTAAGACACCTTTGCAACTCTAAGCACACGTTTTTATTCTAACATTTGGTGTTTCCAGCTGTTCTCTGCTCTGCAAACTTTCACAGGAACAACTGTTTAATATCTTCTCTTATTGCAACTTTCTGGTGCCTTCCACACAATGAACATGCAACTGGGGGTACGTGCTCAGAGTGAGAACTACCCTGAGCCCTTGATTTCATTCCCTTCCAGTGGGGTCTCCAGAGACAACTTAGATTTACAAGGTAGATTTTTTTTTTTTTGTACCGGGGATCAAACTCGGGACCTTGTGCTTGCAAGGCAGGCAGTGGCACCACTGAGCTAAATCCCGGCCCACCAAGGTAGATTTTTTTTGACTTTCAGTTCCAGAACCATATCACTCTATGACATTCTCACAGAATATGTCATTTCTTACCTGATGATAGGCCATAAGTCACCAATAATGTTCAAACCAATCAGTTCTCTCAGCTGGAGAGAGACTGAAAGAATGCTTTATTAGAGACCCTCCTAATCCAGTGGCTCTGTGCACACCCGTGATGGATCCCCTGAAGTCCTACCTCCAGCTTTAAAACATCATGCTGAAGTTTACGCTGAAATTCGAGGAAGTTTTTGATTGTCAGCTTTCCTTTGAGATCAGCTCCAAAAAAATAGGTTGTAAGGGCTGAACATAAGCCAGACTTGAGGGTGTTGCCAGTAGTAGGACGATCTCTATGACGCATACCCATACTGGTTTGGGAGCGAATGATGCTCTGAACCTAAAAATAAAACAAATCATATTCAGGAAAAAAAAATCATAAAAGTGAAAAAAATAACCGCTGTTGACTATGTGCCTACATTACACAATTATCTCTTTCAGTGCATACAACAATCTTATGAGGTAAGCTCTCTTATCATGAGGAGATTGAGGCACACAGAGCTGAATAACTTGTTCAAGGTGAAGTATCTAGCAAGCAGCAGAACCAGGATTCTATCAGACAGGTTGTCATCTTTATAATTGGGATCCGCTTAGAAAATTCCACTTCAGAAAAGAATAAGCATTTATTTCGGGTGGCTTAACACCTCTCTCACACAACTAGAATAATCATCCGCTTCACAATGATATCTTCTATATTCCAGTGGACTTTTAAAGATCCCATATTTGTCACTATTGCCTCCCCAACTGGGATGAGAAGCAGCAGAGGTATAGGCAAAGTCTTGACCTTTGCAGCAGATAACACATTTATCAGAAGGATACATGAAGCCAGGGATTTAGCTCAGTGGTTCCTCCACCTGCCTTGCTAGTACAAGGTCCTGAGTTCGATCCCCGGTATCTCCCACCCCCGCCAAAAGAAAGATACATGAAATGCAAAGTTGGTATGAAACAATACCTCCAAGAAACTCAGGGAATTTGTTCAATCTTTGAGAAAGGGTAATTTTTAGGACTCACAACAGTGACCTAAGTAAATGAGCTCTTTCAGGAATGTCTATGATTTCTACAGCTTTTATACAACTTTCATCTCCTCACTAGCAAACAAAATCAGCTATTCAGAATAATTAAAAACCAGATAGGTTAGAATAAATAATAAGGGTATGTGATATAAAAAATACATACAGCTTTGTTTGTTTGTTTTTTGGTACCGGGGATCAAACTCAGGTCCTTGCGCCTGCAAGGCATGCAGTGGAACCACTGAGCTAAATCCCCAGCCCTACATACAGCTTAATGAGTGATGATTTTTAAAATGCCAGATTAAAAATACATAATAATAGCCAGGTGTGATGATGCACATCTGGGATCCCAGTACTATGGGAGGCTGAGGCAGGAAGATCAAAAGTTTGAGCCCAGCCCGGGCAACTCTGAGACTTAGCAAGACTAACATAAAAAATAAAAAAGGGCTGAGGGTATAACTCAGTTGGGCAAAATCCTCTGTTCAATTCCCAGTTCCCTCCACCAAAAAAGCATGATACTTTAAATCTTAAGATTTGTAAATTATTTACATTAAGTGCCTTTTAGAATTGTATTTATCATCTTTGACTATAAAGCATATTTACTTATGAAAATTTAAAGAAATCTGGTTTTTTAAAGATAGCATTTTTATCTTTATAAAATTAATCCCCATTTATTACAATAAAGGCAAAAAATACAGAAATAAATAGGAAATGGTAATCTACAAGACAGCTCTTGAAATATCTTTGTTTATAAATGCATATATACATGCATACTACATAAATGTGCATATGTATGTATATATGCACATTGTCTTCCATAAGTAAGATTTTACTCTAACTTATAATAGTAATGTGACTTTCTTTCTTTTTTTTGTGACTTTCTTTAATAATTACTTTATTGGTATTCTTTAAGAGTTACACACCATTCTATTGCATGGAATTTAACCAATCCTTTACTCATGACCATCAGACTTGCTTCTACTTTTTTGATATTATGAACAAAGCAGCAATAAATGTTTTACACTTTCTTGGGTTGTCTATTTCCTCAAAGTAAACTTTTAGGAGAATTGAAAGACTGCAGGGTATGCTCATTTTAAAATATTAATATATACTGCCAAATAGCTCTCTAGAGAGGGTGAGTCAATTTAACACAATCACTAACAATTTCAAGTCTTTACATGTTCCTAATTTATTGGGTAATCTTTCAGCACAATAACATGGTGAAGTAGGAAGAAAAAAAACCCTTTGAAGTCCTTTTAAAATCTACAACTGTCCAGCTATGTCCACATGAGCAAGTTACTCAACCCCTTGACTCTCAGTTGATGTAAAATGAGGACAATATTTCTTGAATTTACAAGGTGGTTGTGAGGACAAAACACAACGTATGCAACTGTATCTAAAGTAAAGAATTTTACATAGAAAGAGCATTCAACAAAGGACAGCTATTATTACCATTTTGATTAGACGCTACTCATAATATCATAATGACTTAGAAATAAATCCATCACTGATTTTAGACTTAAAAGAATACAAGATGATATTACTTTATTAAATCCAAGACATATGAAAGGTATTTTCAATATTAATGTATTTTAAGAAACTTGCTAGCACAACTTGCCTGTTCAAACTCCTCCATGTCTACTTCTCCATCTCCATTCAGGTCAAACATCTTGAAGGCAATTTCAAAATTTCTCTGCGGAGCTACAAAAGGAGAAAGAGAGGCAGGGAGGGAGGGAAAAGAAAATTATCTGGAAGCCACTGGCCAAAATAAAATCATTTCTTTAAGAAAAATAAAATGGTTAAACACTAAAATAACATCCAAGTCAGAAAATGACGTGATGTTTATCTAGATCAACTTTTTAGTGATATTTCTTAAAACTCAAAGAACTCTACCATGATGACTAAATATTGCACTTGTCTATCCTTGTGTTTCAACACTCTTTTTCTTAAATACTTCATCTTTGCTTTTTATTTTTTTCATTTTTTGGGGGGTGTCTTTGCTTCTTAGACAGCACCCTCTTCACTGTAATATTCCATTTTCCCCTTTTTTGTATCCTGGGGATTGAACCCAGAGTCTCACACATGCTAAACACACACTTTACCACTAAAGCTGTGTGATATTAATGTCGTTGCTCTGCTGCTTAAATAAAAGATTATTTATCTGGGCAAGAAAGTCTGTCTAGGGTAAGACGCTGTTACCAAGCAAGAAGTTGAAAGTCTAAGTCTTTGCCTTGTCTTTAAATCAAGCTGGCTTTCTACTTTGTTTTTTTTCCCTAGTCTCTCCATTCTAAGCACAGTCAGGAGTTCTGTGCATGTCATTCCACCAGCAGGCATTTCCAGCAGTTTTACACTGGTCTACTCATTCTCACCACCACTCATGGAAGAGCAGAATACTATACTGTAAGCTATGTGGCTTACTAATTTGATCATGTCAGATGCAAACTTGAGTTACTGAGTAAAAGTACCCTTAAGTGGCAAAATTAACCTAAAGTTTAAAAAACAAAATATGGTTGTGCATGTAGCTCAGGAGCAGAGTGCATGCCTAGCAGACATGAGGGCCTGGATCCAAGCTCCAGCATCAAAAAACTAAATCATAAAAACATGCACTGCCTGACAAGATGGTATGTATTTTCTTTCCCTTAAGTGAATAATTAAAGCTCCTCAATACTTCTCCAGCGTTCTAGGACCAATCACAATATAATTAGTATATTTAGTGTACTGGAATAAAACATAAAGCTTTACAGCTCTTCTCCCTAACCACACTAAATGCTCTGACAAAGGAAACTAAGTTATTTACTTCCTTCCTCTGATGCTTCAAATTTATAGTGCTTTAGACAATAAACTAAGTACTCTACATATTCTAACTCCAATGAATTAAATTTTCACTTAATACCATATTTACTAAAAAAGTAAAAAATGAACGAGCTTTATATATTATGCATGACCATGGAGTGTCCATACCCCCATTTTGCTCATGAATTTGTCAATACCAGCATCTTCTGGGCTTAAATTCCATTTTCAGATAGCTGGCCAGCTAGGCTGGTTAAGTTCCTGTTTTTTTTTGTTGTCTGGGTGAACCATGTGCCTCTCAGCTCCCGATTGACTGCTTCATTTTATGTTGGTTTCTAAAAGATTTGCTCTTCTTTAGGTCAGAACTACAATTGCTGGGAAGGTGATAGCTGGGAGAATTAGATTTTTGTATATTTACCGCCAGTTCTCAATTTTTTCCTATTTGTTTTAGTGTAATCTTTTACTGAGAAGTTACTCTGTGCCAAGCATTGAGCTAGATAATTTCAGGCTGTTTATTGTTTGATTTTGTACTCTCGATTATGAAAGTTTTGATTCTATTATTTTTTAAGCAGAGGAGGAAAGTGAGGCTCAGAGCAGTTACACAAATAACTAGCTCAAAATCACACAGCTGCCAAGTGTGGTAACACGTGCTTATAATCCCAGTACTTGGGAGGCAGAGGCAGGAAGACTGCCATGAGTTTGAGGCCAGCCTGGGCTATTTAGTGAGCTCAAGGCCAGCCTGAACTGTATGGCAAGATCCTGTCCCCCCTCCCCCCTCCAAAATCACACAGATAATATGTGGAAGAACTGGGAACTGAAGCCCATAAAAGTTTCATTATGCTCCACAGCCTCTACTAGGAATACAGAGGTACTTATCATGATAAACACGTAACTCTGAATGCTTATATGTTTTGAACTAGAAACAAAATAACAAAACATGACTTTACTGGTTGCATCAGTCTCTGCAAAAGCTGAGAGTTTCAAGTTGTTATCTCAAGGAGATACTTGATATCAAAGAAGCTATGCGTATTATTCTCAATAGGTTAGACCTGGATGTACTAACTGGAGATCCATTGGCAAACAAATTAGACTCTGATAGGTTTGTTATTTGTCTTTCAAAATTCTGAATGTGAATCTCTTTAGACAGGAGTACATTATCTTATTCTTCCCTCTTGTGTCACACTCGGTTCATTTCACTCATACACGTTGTTTTCCCAATCTCTGCAGATACCCAAGTATGCAGCAGTGGCACCCAGTAAAGGTTTTAAGTGGAACAGTGTCACAATCAGGAACTTATAAAGGACTTCTCTGGCTCCTATCAACGTTGAAAATGTGAACTGAGGTGATGACAGTGGAAATGGAGAGGAGGAAACTAATTTGAAATGCCTTAAGAAGGCAGAAATCACATAACTTAATGATTAGTTAACCGTGATGGGTTGAAAGTAAAAAGGAATGACAGTATTACTGGTTTAGATTACCAAATCTTGTGACTTACCAAGAAATAAAATAGATGGAAAACCACTGAAAAAGAAAATGAATCTAGGTGGGACCTGCTGATTTTGAAGGGCCCATGCATATTCGGATGGGGATGTTCAGGAGACAGTGGAAATACGATCAAAGGTTAGAAGAAAGCTGGAAGCTACTGGCATGCATGTGGTTAGCTGCAAAGAGCCTGAAGTGAAGTTGCCCAAAAGGAACTGAGGGAGAAGAAGGCTGAGTGAAGGGTAGAACGCAGGTAGGTGAAAGTCAATATTTTAGGTGCAGGCAAAGGGAAAAGAAGCAGGGACAGACAAGGTGGCATCACAACCTTAGAAGGAGGAATACAGTCCAAATCAATAGAAACAGGAAAGGTGACAGCCAAGTCAGTACATTCCTATACATGGACTAAAGCAGCATTGCCAGTCTATCTCCACAGATGACAGAGGTTACGTAGGGTGCTTAACATTTCAGTCTATCAAAATTTTTCATTTTCATTATTGTCCTGTGAGTTCTGTGAAGGCATGCGCCCAGATCATTTAAATGATTAAATGAGTTATTCTAGCAAATCAGTGAACATTTCCTCCTACAGCCAAGGTTAAATCATTCAACCCAAGAAAGCATAGTGTGTACTGCCTGAGCTTTCTCTTTTTAGTCCCAGCTACTTTCCTACAGAACATGCACTCTCTGTGGAGCTACTTGGTGTGCTTGTTAAAATACATGTGAGGATACCCCAGAGACTACAACTCTTGTGCTCTGGTCACTGCTGAGGTAGGGTGCATAGCAATGGCCTTGCAGGCCTGTCAGGGAAGGGCTTCCAGAGGGAGCAGTCTCAGTATGCTCCATCTTTATCTGCTGAGGTCAAAGCATATGAAACAAACAAGACCCAAATCAGCTTGCTTTCAGCACAATATGCTACATAAAATATGCTTTCAGGTAATTCCCTATTTCCCTTTAAATGGAGGCTTTACAGTAATTTTAAAATGTAGCTATTGTGAAATGCTTAAGATGTCCTGGGTTGAGGCTAACTCATGACCTGTTTCCACAGAAAGGTTCTGAAAGAGAAATCCTTTTGAAGCCCAGGCTACTTATAGAATGAACAGGGAGGATTACAACCTTTCCAAAAACAGTATTATCTACTTTCTACATAACTCCCAAAATGGTCTTACCATATGTTGGAAATGATTAAAATTTACATGACAATCTTTGCTATGACTGGAGTTACATGAGGTCTTTTCTGGATTAAAAATCCATTTTTGTAATATTATTTCACCACTATCAACAATGACAGCAATAACAACTCTAGACTTTCCCAGAGCAGATTTCCTTACTCTGCTTTAGTACCAAGCAAAAGCATTCTTTTCTATGTATAGTAAAGTCAAAGAATCAGACAGCAGCACCACTAGCTGTCCTAAGTCTTTGCAGCTGTTTCACTTACTATTCTTTAACAGAAAATGCACAAGACTAGCACTCTAATTCTGGCTCTTCCAACAACATGAGTCACTTGCTGCCTTAAATTCCTTTTTGGTAGTACTGACAGAATGAGAAAAAAAAAAAACGAACAGGATACATTCTATATATATTTATTAATTTCTCTTGGTTTAATGTGCCAACCAGGGAATTCCTACCTATACCATTCCTGTTTTTAAATGTTGCTATAAAATAAAGGAGGTAATATACAGTAGCAGATATTTCCGAGTTAGGAAAAACTTTAGAGTATGATCCTCTATTCCATCATCAATCTTTCTACTACATTTGTATGGGTGACCAGTCTCTGATTGAGACATAAGTCACCATTCCTGAGGACTAAGCATTGTTGATCATGTTAATTTTTTTCTTTATGCAGAGCTTAAATCTTTGTCTAGCTCTTGCAAACTGCCATAATTAAATTTTCTAGAGAAACAATACAAAGCTACTACCATGTCTCTACTGAAGTTTCTTATAACTTCTCATAATCAGATCCTCAACATTCTTGTAGCCCTCTGTGGGATATTTTAAATGGCCAATGCCTCCCATAAATACTCTAAACATAATTAACTCTGGACATGACATGATTTGTAGAACAACAGAACTGCATTTTTTTTTCTCAGAATAATGGACTAGCATTATTACATGAGTTCTGATGTCTTGCTTTCTACATAACACTATAGAGTTGGAGGATGGCATAGAAAACCCTGCATGATTTGATTTCAAAAAACAAACAAACAAACAAACAATCCATGTCCTTCCCTCTATTTTTCTGAATGCTTCAAGGTACAACAGGCTAGACACAATCTGGAGGAAATTTTCCTGCCCCTTTCACAGAATGGGAGAAAAGTTCCCGCAGTTGTAAGAGAACATTTCATTAGGGTGAATTGGCCTCAGCAGAATGCTACACAAAAAAGAAAATACCCTAACACATTTTAACATCTTAGACAACACTTACGCAACAAACA